CTTTAGACTAATTCAAACATTTAATAAAAAACAGTTTCAGTGTTCTGGATCTGTATCAGTGCAAATTACAGGATATACTGACATTTGTTTGGCAGGTTTATTAAATACTTTCAGAAACATAAACAGAGCCTTAGCTTTCTCTGATTTTAGGATTTTCTTTTAGATATTTCTGCATTTTCTCTGAATGACTCTATACAAAGAAACTCTTCTTCTGAGAACAAAAAGTTAAACCTTTTAGGAGGGCAAAGAGCTGCAGGACCTGACGGGTTCAAGTATCTCGGGTTTTGTTAACAAGTGAAGGTAAAATGGAGCATGATCCTGACATGGTGCGGTGTCAGCAGTGATTTTGAGGTGAAGCGGCAGCTGAGCATGAAAGCAGATCTCTAAAAAGTCAATTAGAGGATAGAGCCCTGCAGGGGCCTCAGATCTAAGCCCTGGTATGAGAAGCCCAGGCCCCAGGCCCCAGGCCCCAGGCCCCAGGCCAAAAGCTTATCACAATCATTGGCCTGACCCCAAGTTTTCTTTTCTTTTCTTTTCTTTTCCCCATAACACAGCCTGTACTACTGTTACAGCCATTAAACAGTCAGGTTTGTTTTTAATGGCAAAGTGATTTAATTTGTTTTCTGTTTCATCAGTAAGTTAAAATAGAAAAATGTTTGGAGCATTTTTTCTGTTTGTTAAATAAATGTTTTTTGTGTGACAACCAAGAGGCCATCCATGAGTTGACGCTCGATTTAAGATCAACACTTGACCAGCCAATAAAATAATCTGTAGATATAAAAGCATATCGCAGTGTTTAAACTTTTATCGCCACCACAGTAAAATTGCATTACTGATCATCTACTCCTCGCAACAGGCTATACAATCTAAACAAATACTAAGTTAAAAACATACAGGTTCTCTGACCTTACCGAGGCTATTGTTAAAAGTGTGGTTTGTGTTCATATTTTCCTGTTTAAGTCTGGTTTTGGTTATGTGTTTCTCTGTGTAGCCTTGTTTATTCTTTTATTCATTTGCATGTTTTAGTTTACTTAGTATCTGTCTAGTATCTTATCTTAGTTCTTAGTCCTGTGCCTTAGTTCATGTCCTAGTGTTACTCCTGGTCTGTGTACTTGGGTGTTTATTATTTTTTGGTCTTGTCTACTGTTTCATCCTCGTCTCTGTCTTTCTGTCTGGCTGTTGTTAGTTTCAGTTTGTTACCCCGCTGATTACTGTGCTTTGTGTGTTCTCTCCTTGTATCTGTGTCTTAGTCCTGTGTCTCCATGTTTGTGTAGTCTTGTTCCTGTTTGGTACTGTTTCTGTTCCCTGCCCTGATTTTGCGGTCTCTCCATGCTTTGTGTTTTACATTGGTAGATCTGTCCTGGTGTGTTCCTGTGTGCTTTACTTCCTGTTTTACTTTGTAGTGTTCAGTTCTCATGTGTCCTTGTCTAGCTTTGTTTCCTGTTGTTTGATTACCTGAGGTGTTTCAGCTGTGCTTCCCTCCCTGCTCGTTTGCCTGTGTATTTAAGCCCTCGGTTTGGTTCAGTCTTTGTCACATCCTTTGTCTGTGTTGAGTGTTCTGTCCTGTCCCTGCCCTTTTGGATTATTTTGTTGGATTGTACCTTGTTCTTTGTTCATGGACTCTTCCCTCTGGATTATGTCTTTATTTGAAATGCAACTGTTACGGGTCCCAGGGATGGGTACCTCAATAGCAGATATGTGACCTGTATGAAAGCAGGTGAAACAGGA